CTCCATATTTCAATTCCTGTCACATGAATCATTTTTTGCATATAAGATTAATGCATATAGTGCTGCACTAGCTCTTTCTCTTGCATTTTAGTGATCATCACATAAATCTTGCCATTCTGATTTCAGAGGATTCCAGTGACAATTGCTAACAAGTTTGAGGACGAGCTATCCACTAGAGTCACTATAACGTTCCGACTGGTAGGATGTGGCAAATAGGGCTGCAGAGTATATTAAACACCCTGTGGCTTCACAGTGGCTGGAAGGAATTCGTGGAGTTTTATTCTGATTGGTACTTTTTACTTTCTGCTATTGCAATACAGTGGGAATTCGGGGTTCCGCATATCCAAAATCTACATGACTGCCCTGGAGATTTGCTATCCACATGCTAGACCAAGACCCGGTCATGTGACTCCTCAAAGAGAGCAAATCTCCCGAACTCTCACACTGTCCTCCAGGAAAAAGCTTCACTCGAAAGTGTGTAAAAAAAATGATGGCGGGTTTGTCAAAGACGCTGCTTACGAGAGGAAAAAAGACCGTTCCTTAATATCGGCTCACGGGAAGCATTGAACTCCGTCCTGGAACACAAATTTTGTACAGGACAAGACATCAAACTGAAATTATGTGGTTGATCTTACCCAGTCTGATACTAAGGATGTTAAAGTTCATCATTTAGAAAAAGAAGCCAATCCTGGTTAACTCCTCGCATAGGAATAATCTCCATTCAATTGACGGTCATTTTCAGCTGCAATCTCTTTCTAGCTAAACAGTTTCCGACGTGTTATCCTCAACAGGATGTAGAACGTGCCCCAAGCTACAGAAAGCAATCCACAAGCCATGATGAGCTTCGTCGACTGTCGTCATGCACTGCAATAGCCTTTACATAATTTAATTAGCATTGAAGCTCATTCAGCTCATGAAGTTTTCTGTTTTGCATCTCGGAGTAACCTACGCTCGGCCATTCCTGTAAACTAGGATCAAACCTTTTGGGTTAAGTGTTTTGAGTATGTGCCTGCTGATTTTTCTAGGAAGCATCTGAGTTTCGCCGCTTGCTAGCGAGCGGATCAAACTCCAGGTTTCTGATGGGAGACAGCGGGGAGCTTTGTTCGGTCCTAGAAAATCCCATGGTTCGTTAACCGGCAGGGGATGGGTAAAGTTTGCGAGGGGAATGTGGGCGTCTTTGAGCTTAAGAGGACGAGCCCAGCGGTGCGCTTGTGCAGAATGTCTCGATCTCGCGCATAGGTGTGATTACTCGGGCCATCACCCCTTAGGTCTCATTGGTCTGTCCTGCCTAATTTTTTCATGATTTCCACTTATTATATGGTCTCTTTCGTCGTTTGATGCTCCATTTGGTTATCACCGTTTCAGCATCTGGATGCTCTGTGAATTCTTGTGGTCAGCTTTCTAATTAAAGTACCCAAATCTCGATCATTAGCAGCTAATTGTGGTTGAAAAGAGGTGTGCGCTGCTTGCTTCGTGATTGCTAATACCTCTTATTACATGATATGAGAACAATCAATATTGATGATAACAGTCTGCAGAAGAAACTAATATATAGGTTCTTAAATAGTAGACGTCTATGATAATGTGGCGCCAAAGTTTTCTCGATAATTTAAAATTAGAGATAGTCAGACTCCCGTTTTTTTATTATGAAAATAGAAACGTTTTATCTTTTAAGATAATGGATTATGTTGGAATTTTTGTTTTCAAAATAATCAAATCCATTCATAACCATCCAAAATGGTGCTTTTATGTTAAAAAAAACTATTTTTCTTCTAAAAAAAGAGAATAACTATTTATTTTGGTAGTTCGAATACAGGGTTGGACGAGATTGGGAGCTATATCATCCGTCGCTGAAATGTTTGACTTAAGGTGTCAAGAAAGCAGTAACTGCCCACTGGGTGAGGTGCAACCCCACCAGATGCGAGTGAAGAAGCCCAAGACTCACGATATGCCTAAGCTTAAGGCTCATCTTACACAGAGTAACTGAGATTTTTTGAGAAAGGGTACAGAGTGGGAATTGAATTTGTGACCTTCAACTTGCAACCCAAGTCTTGGACCACTCAATGAACCGTTTAGTTGGTCAGAAAAATTATTCATGTAAATGTCACCAAACGATCTCAAAGTGATTGCTTTTTGTGGACATCATCTCCCAGTCCTATTTACTAAAATATCCATGGTTAAGGGCCGAGGGGGTTTTTCCCTTGCAAAGCATTGCATTATATTGTATGAAAAGTATTTGAAATTGTATATTGATATTGTGATATAAAATGGGCCGCGCTTTTTCTGCTCCTCATTTAGCTTAGACATTCCCATTTTTTTTGTGTTTTGACCATATTATTCTTTAAGGGGCCCATCTTTTCTAGTACAACTCTACAAAAGTGATCTTTTTTATTATTTGGATATCGTTTCTTTTTTTTTTCCTCGCGGGTCTCACTTTCCTTTTTCTTCTTTTTTTCATGCCTTTGACATCTTAATTCTTCACTCTTGCAAATCGCCTTTGGGCTCCATTGTTGTCAAAGAAAATAGATTACTTCAATTCTCCTAAGATTAAACAACTAGATTAAACATATCATGTATCATTGTTTCCAACAAGTCAATTAATGAGAATCAACAACAACATCACAAAATTGAGGATGAAGAACTTATGGAAACGATATTGAGAAGCTGAACCCAGAGGAAGAAAAAGTTTATAAGATATAAGTATGCTACAGACTACAAAGAAATTGTGCAACTGATTCACAAACACTGTTTTGATGCACAATATACTCTAAACGCAAAATTGAATCACAAAATCAAGAATTTCCATGATCCAAAAGTCAAATTCACTTTTAAGAAAAGATTATCAAGAAATACTCAATAGAGACCGGGATGAGCATGATTCGAGAACAAGAAAACTAAAAAGAAAAAACAAACAAGCTTTTGCCAGAACCATACCTCCAATAGTGAATGAGGAGTGTGTGGATTGCTAAAGTAAGCAGTTTTTAGGGGATTGTAAATGCATGATAGATTTACTGAAGAAGAAGGAGGAGTGGGAGGCCTAAGAGAATGGCTTGTCAAAGAGAAAATATAGAGACGATTTGCAAAAGCGAAGAATTGAGATGTCAGAGACATGGAAAGAAAGAAAAAAAAAGGAAATTGGAACCCGCAAAGAAAAAGAAGACGGATCGAATAATTAAAACAAATCACTCTTCTAGAGTTGTACCAGAAGTGGTGGGTCTCACAAGGGATGGTATGGTCAAAACACAAAGAAAAGGAGTGTCTAAGTCAAAGGAGGAGTGGAAAAAACGCGATCCTATAAAATTTACATAATAACAAGAAATAATTTCATGGATGGGTTTTGACAATAATGAACTCATGTTTTGGTTTTATAGTGCCAAACAATCTCCAAAGTGAAAAAAAAATTGATATGGGACAATTGTCAATGGAATACATGGAAAAAAAATTGTCCCGCACTATATACATAGAGAACTTTCAAGCTCTATCTCCTATTAGAGCAAAATTTGTATGGAGAAGAAGCTGTTCTTTTAACATGGAATCTTTTTATATTTTTAATTTTCTGTTTTTTTTTATCTCAACAATCCGCAAAATAACTAAATGAATAAATATATATTCTTTCTAGAATTATACAAAGGGAATGCATACGAAGGGCGAGATGGTAGGGCAGGGCGGGTCGGGTCGAGGCTAATACATCCCCTCCCCTTGTCCCTTGGTCCGTGCCCCGCCCAATTCCCCGTCGGACACAAATTTCTAGCACCTTACGTCGATCTTTTGCTTTAGTCTATGGCCCCGTTTGGTTCAGCTTTGGGAATGAGTTTTCGGCCTCGAAAGCCCCTTCCCAAAATGCTGAACCGTTTGGTTCAGCTTTTCGAGTCCGGAAAGCCGAAAGCTAGCATTTGGAATGCTGAAAGCCTAAAGCTAGTCTTCCCTTCCCAAATTGACCTCACTCAAATTTCCATATTCCGGTTTTGCCCATGTTACTGTTCATCTTCTTTACCACGAGGGTGGCCGGCGAGAGCGGATCTGGTCGGCGAAGGGCCGGCGAGGTCGCCCGACCCAGGTGACGGTTGCCTGTGGTCGAGCGACTGCCTAGGCACTGTCGCCTGGTTCGCGCGACCTCAGGCGACGTCAACTTGGGTCGCAACCCAGGCGGCCATCGCCTGGAGTCACGTGACCCAGGCGGCCGTCTCTTGGCGGTCGCCCAACACCAGGCCGCCGTCGCCTCGGTCAGACGACCTCGCCGACCCTTCATCAGCCAGATCCGCCCTCACCGGCCACCCTTACGATGAAGAAGATGAACAGTAATAGGGGCAAACCGAAATATTAAAAATAAAAATTGCCAAAGCCCTTTGCAAAAAAAAAAATTACCAAACACTACTTAGGCCAAAGTAGTTTCACAAATTTTTTTTTACCAAACACCACTTGCATTTTCCCAAGTGACTTTCACCTAAAAGTATTTATATTCCCTCAAATAGCATTTGAAAAGCCGAACCAAACGGGCCTTATGTAAGCTGCCACATTCGCTCATTTTTGAAACCACTCTAATAAAAAAATCTTAAATGAATTTAATGTATGTGAGCTCAAATTACGTGCATTGTCGCACCTGATTCGATGATACATACAAGTCGGCAAATACAGGCGATAACTTCTCCTACTCTAATAGTTATATTTATGGGTAACTTGTCACGAATGAATAATTGAGTCTTAAAACTTTTAAAAAGTGTAATTAGATCCTAAAACTTTCAAAAAGTGCATGAAGTCTTAAAACATGCCGCGAAAGTGCAATTGAGTTAAAAAAATTTTCAAAAGTGCAATTAACAGAAAGACTTAATTAAATTAAATTGATATATTTTAAGACTTGATTGTACTTTTTTTAAAATTTTAGATTTTAATTGTACTTCGTGATAAATTTTATGATTTAATTGTACTCATCCAAAAATTTATGTCCGTTCATGCACTTGTCCCTTGTATATGTTCTCTCTCCATAAAAATGAAGAGAAGAAGAAATCATCTGATCTCCACGTGAGCCAACCAAAATTCTTCCGATCTTATCCTCTTCCTCTTCCACTCGTTCCCACTACCCTCCTCCATTTTCTTCCTTCCCATTCTCACTCTCTTTCCGATCTCCACAAACTCCTCCAAACCCTCTTCGCGAAACAAGGTCTGCAGCACCTCTCGTTTATTCAATCAATTTTCTCACTAATTGAACACCACTGATCACCCTTCCTCTCCTCTCTCTGTTTTTTCTCCTCTTCTTCTCAACTTTCCAGGTTGCGGGTGTGTCTGACAGAAGCCATGGCAGCCGCCTCCGCCGCCGTCTGCCCCGTGCCCCTCGCCGCCTCCGCCGCCGTCGTCCCGCGGCAGCGGAAGAGCAGGGTGAACTACATAGTGGGACTGAATTCTTTCGGCGGTTTGAAAGCTCACAGCGAGGTGGCTTCGCTGGGAGTGCCGGTTTGCACTGACCGGTCGTTTGCGAAGATCGTGAGCTCTCTCCGGTCGCAGGGCAAATCGAGAAGAGGTGGCGGTGGGGCTTTGCCGTCGACCTGCAACGCGGCGGAGGAGATTTTCAAGATCGCGGCGATCATGAACGGGCTCGTCCTCGTCGGGGTCGCGGTCGGGTTCGTCCTCCTCAGGATCGAAGCTTTTGTTGAAGAGGCCGAGTAAGAAGAAAGTCTGCAGCAAAAATGTCCTCTAATTTTCCCTTTTTTCTAATTTAATTTGTGTATTTTGGGCAGGATTAAAATTATGTCTGTTCATTTGTTGTTTGATGATGTAAGAAGATACTCTGCTTCGAAACCTGGGATTGATTTCACCCCATAAAAAAAAGCATGAAATTTTAGCATTCATTAAGAAGGCAGAAAAGATTTGAAGGCAAAATTGGTAGCTTTAAACGGATTATTTGGTTCTTTATAAGTCATAAATTATACCCGATCGTCACGAAATTATGCGACCAGGACTTGAGATCGAGTCGAGTCACCGGCGGGATTAGAGAAGCCGAAGGGGAAAAAGGAAAATGTAAAATCGATTTGAATTGGAGAAAATGAAACTAAATTCAGTTTAACTTAATCAGATTATTTAGTTTGAATTTGAGGAGGCCTTTAAGTTCGAAGAGTCACTCGATGGTTTAATGACCTTTGCTTCTTCAGACATGAAACTATATATTTCTCAAAACCATTTGATGTTGTGTGCATTATGTCTATGTTTTCCTTCATCAGGTTAGCTTGACATTCATTGACCAATCTTATGGCTATGTCTCTGTGGACCAAAAAAAGAAGAGGGTTTAACCTTAGGTTCAATTCTTAAATCTAGTCTTATCATTTGAATTTTATCACAAAAAGACCCTACCTTTTATTTTGCTTCGGTTTTAGCCAATTATGAACTTTAGCACTGCAAAAGACCTGTGATTTTATCACTGCTCAGCGCCCAATTAGAACTCGTGCAGTGCAAAGCTGGCAAAATAATTGCTTAATTTCATCATTATTCACTAATCTTTGATGGTGTTTGTAATATTGCGACTTAACATTTAATTTCAATCATCTGATTTGCGAAACTTTTTGGATTTTTGCAATCGATGCACTTCGGCTGAAGTGCCATTCATTTTTCAATGAGATACTGACATGGCGTACAAGTTGTGACAATCTTTGGTGATATTTGTACTATTGCGACTTAACATTTATTACTTATTCAAATGTCACCAACTGCAAATCATAGTTTAGCTTAGGGCAGCTCTTTGACTTTTCATAACATGTTTACCTATATGTAGAAATTGATTTTTCTGATGTTTCTTCCATAGGGAAACATGACAAGTCCCAGATTTGGGACAGTTGGTTCGAATATTAGGGATTCTAGTTCAGGGTCCGGATATTACTTGTTTAAATTTCACCAACTGCATGCAAACCATAGTTTAGCTTAGGGCCACTAACATGGGTCAAAAGCTTGGACTTAATTGGTTCATTGGCTTGTAGAGTGTTTTATGAAATTCCAGGTAGATAGGCTTGGGCGCTTGTGCCCCTACCTTATTGCAAAAAGTGAAACATGACCTTTTAATTAGCTTATTTCTAGATAGAGTGTAGCTGTTTGTTTGGATAGAAATTGAACACATGAGAAACCAGACAAGTCGAGATTGCTTGTATTAGGCACCATAGAGTGAGAAGAACAAAAGGTCATGTTGCCCCTCAAGTTATTCATGGTACAAAGCTTCTCAAGAACGCTTCACATCACCATGATAGATTATTGTTGTAATTTTGACTATGCTCATATGCATATATAGATATAGTCATAATTCTCACTTTATGATCATCTTCAACTTAACCTTCATTGAATTCATAACCCTCGTACCTAATTCTACAGTCTTGAAGCTGAATTTGAACGCCGACGCTAAAGTGATAATACTTCAGTGTCGGTTGCTTAGCGTCACCTAAGCATGTCTTGCAATCTGGAGGAGTGAGTAACCCATTGCATGCTCCCTGGCCGAAGCAGGTATTAACCAAGAACCCCGCCTTCTTATTATAGTAATTGAAGCCGGAGTCCGATGTACGGTCGACTATATCTTGAAGGAGATCATTGACCTCATCATTTTATGTCTAGCTTGTAGCCATGTCTCCATTGCAGATTTTGTACACCAATATTTCGTTTGGATCACCTTTTATAACGTTGCATGAACAAATGACTGCTATTAATATAATTGCAATTTTGTGGAATGAAGCCATTTATCTCTTACCTCCGTTTCTTGATACTACTACTCATCTTTTATTGCTCCTTAAGTGAGTGCTATGTCCAAGAAAATTATGCTTCTCTTAGGTTTTTCCACTCTTTTACATGGATTTTCTTCTTTGATTTCTTTGGTCTCGACTTTATCAATACTCAAGAATGTAAAAGACAGTAAAGTTCTTGCTCTAGCCGTAGTTTAAAATCTTTTTCTCATAAAATGAGGAAGTTGCCATCGTCTTATTTAATATGAGTATCTTTTCTGCCGTCCCTCTTATCCCATTTTGTTTGGAGTCGTTGGCTTTTTCTTAATCTGCCTCTTCCAAAGAGACACTTGTGTATTCACATACTTGATGGAAAGGCTTTTGCACGAGTTACCGAAATCTTTGCTGGCAATAGACCTGTTAAATGGGTGGGTCGGGTCAGGTCATAAATGGTCTGACCCAACTTGATCCATTGAACTCGTTTATGACCCATTTATCGCAAGGCAAATTTCTCGACCCATACACGACCCGACCCATTTAACTAAATCTAAGAAAGCTTATTTTTTATAATTATTTTAAAAAATTTTATTGCTAAAACATTTTCATACAATACAAATCTAATGGACAATTTTTATATATTTTTTTAAAGAAATTGAGGCTCCGTTTGTTTCGCGGAAAATATGACATTTCTAGAAAATATTTTTTTAATATTTTTTATTTTTATTTTAAAAAATCATATTTTAATTTGTTTTCTTTTTTTCTTTTTCTTTTCCTTTTTCCTTTTCTTCTTTTATTTTTTATTCTTCCAAGGCCTGAGGCTTGCCAAAGCGAGGTCTAAAGCTCTTTAAATCGGTGAGCTCGAGCTTCGCCGGCCTTCGGTAAGCTCGTCCCTCGCCTATGGCCGGCCGTCATAGTGGCCGGCCACCGTGGAGGAAGAAGAAAAAAAAAGAAAAAGAAGAAAAAGAAGAGGAAAATAATATAAAATTTAAAAATCATAAAATTTAAAGAAAGAAAATAACATGCTTATTATTCAGTTAAGCTTGTTGGGTAACCCATTAATAACCCATTTAATACCCATTAAGTTAATAGGCCAACCCATTAATGACTCATTAAGTGTACTTTTAAACTAAAGCCAACCCATTAATAATCCATAATCATTATATATGGGTTAATAAATGGGTTCTTGACCCATTTACCACCTCTAGCTAGTGATAAGATTGCTTCGCCCTAGTTTGAGTTTTCCAAGTGCAAAAAAATAGATTCATTTTAAAAAGTAGGGATAATGACACAAATAGTCCATAAACTTTGTCTTAATGTGCAATGTGGTCTCTGAACTTTTAATTCGTTCAATATAATCCCTAAGCTTTAACTTAATGTTCAATGTGATCCTAAACTTTTAATTTGTTCAATGTGGTCCTTGGATTTTTGGTATATATTCAATGTAGTCCCTAAACTATATGAAAATATTCATTGTAATCCCTGAACTTGAATTAATAGAAGGACTACATTGAATATTTTCATATAGTTTAAGGACTAAATTGAATTTGTATCAACAATTCAGGGACAATATTGAACAAATTAAAAGTTTAGGGATCACATTACTTATTGGATTAAAGTTCAGCGACTACATTGAACAAATTAAAAGTTTAGAGATCATATTGCATATTGGATCAAAGTTCATAGACTGTTTATGTCATTTTCCCTAAAAAGTAATTTCCGAAATGAGTAATCTCTTCTCCCACTATGTACCCAATAGCCTTCTCATTGACACATCACTATTGAGGATTGTCTAGTAATCACACTCCTAATCCTAGGCACCTTGTCTTTCTCTATTGAAATAAGTTGTAACCAATTTTTTAACTGTATAAATCAATCTATGACAAAAATTTAATAAAGTTGGAGAAGAATTGCACATATCCAACCGCTATGGATAACAAATATTTTGAACCACATTTTAGACTAATATAGTTCATACAGAATATAATTAAAATCGTACCAATATATAAATTCAAAATTTTGCCGTTAAATTAATATTAAAATGTTTATAAACTGACAGCATATGTGTTCTAGCAACTTCCTTCATTAAAGTATCCATATAAGCAAGATGCTAGGTTTCTTCTGCCTACTCTGCCCATGGACCAAAGAAATTTGGGCAGATCCAGTGCTCAACCTACAAGTTTCGAGCCAGGGATTATCTCAAATTGAGGAGTGGATCAGTAAGCTATCGAAGAACAAACTTTCAGACCTAGCCATAAAAGCTTCGGTAATCTGGGGTGTCTGGGAAGCCAGAAATGCAGCCAACTTCGGACAAAAAACTCCAGACCCCAATGATGTTGTGGATACAGCTCTCACCACTCTCAACCTAGGAAGCACGGACGCTCTCCGGGGGCCTCCGTGTTCGTGTCAAACGCGTGTCTGTCCAACGCGCGACCAACACATGATCAACAGGTGTTAGACATCCGATATGTAGTCAACGCTCCAGACACGCTAGCGACACGAGAGTCCAACATCCCGACACGCCATTTCTACACGCACGGGGTCAATTTTAAACATTTTCAATAAATTAGGGGTCAAAATGTAAATTCATTCTAGGCTTTTATTTATTTATTTATGGATTTGAATCAAATTAATTTGATTGAAATAATCATAAAAATGATAATTTATCATATATCTATAAAAATATACATTTAATATATAACGTGTCCCAATATGTCGGAATTCTCTATTTTTTGAGAAAGGATGTGTCGACGTATTGTATCATGTTGTGTCGCGTGTTAGTTCTACTTAGCTCTCAGCAGCTTTCAAAAATGGATTATCTTCAGCAAGCAGGGATGGAATCAAAAAAGGAAATGCCTCAAGCAGCTGGAAACCACCTAAACCTCGCACCTTTAAGGTAAGTATTGATGGGGCTTCCATACCTGGAACGGCGGAAGGGTCGATTGCATGGGTATGTCGCGATTCCGCCGGTTGATTCTTGAACAGAGGTGCGAAATTGGTGGCTGCATCATTGGCTCTCTTGGTTGAAGCCCTGAATTACACTCTCTCTCTCCTCAAAATGAAGAAGACGAAGCCCTAAAGCGTACTCTCTCTCCTCTAAACGACAAG